AAAATAAAAAACCCAATTAAAAAAGGACAAAGAGTTGGGTGTGGTGGGTCATGCCTGTAAGCCCAGCACTTTGGGAGGCTGAGGTGGGCAGATCACGAGGTCAGGAGTTCGAGACCAGCCTAATCAATATGGTGAAACACCATCTCTACTAAAAATACAAAAATTAGCCAGGTGTGGTGGTGTGTGTCTGTAGTCTCAGCTACTCAGGAGGCTGAGGGAGAAGAATCGCTTGAACTCGGGAGGCGGAGCTTGCAGTGAGCCGAGATTGCGCCACTGCACTCCAGCCTGGATGACAGAGCGAGACTCCATCTCAAAAAAAAAAAAAAAAAAGGGCAAAAGATTTAAATAGACACTTTACCAAGGAGAGCACATGGGTGACAAACCCATAGAAAGATGTCCAACATCATTAGTAATTAGAGTAATGCAAATTAAAACCACATTGAAATATTGCTATATGTCTTTTAAAATGGCAAACAAACAAACAAAAACAAACAAAACAATGACAAAAAACAACACTTGACAATTCTGAGTGCTGACAAGGAACTGGAACTTTCACATATTCCTGTGCGAGTCAAAAATAATACAGCTACTTTGGAAAAAAGCTTAGCTGTTTATTCTATAGTTGAGCATTCACTTACCATACAAACTAACAACTTCACTCCTAAGTATTTACTTGAGAAACCACAATTTGTGTTTATATAAAAACCTATACGTAAATATTTGCAGTGAGTTTATTTATATCGGCCACAGACTGGAAACAACCCAGTTGTCCTCCAACTGGTAAAAGGATAAACAAATGGTGGTATAGCCATACAATGGGAAGAAAATGGAACAACATTCTGATACACACAACAACATGAATGAATTTCAAATGCATCTTACTAAGTGAAAGAAAGCAAACTTAAAAGGTTATATACTGAATGATTCTATTTACATAATGTTGTGGAAAAGGCAAACCGATAGGGACTGAAAACAAATCAGTGGTTGCCAGGGGCTGGGAGTGGGAGGAGGGCTTAACTACAAAGAGGCAGCATGGAGAAATTATTCTGGGGGTGATGGAGCTCTTCTGCATCTTGATTGTGGTGAAGCTTACATGATTATATGTGTTTATCAGAGCTCATAGAAGTGTATATAAAAAAGGATGCATTTTATGATATGTAATTATAATTCAATAAAACTGAACTCCAAAATCCATTTTTCATTAATACATAAAAAAAAGTTGCCAAGTGATTTAAACCCATAGCCAGGGTTGAGAGTTGTTGGCATTATCTCTCAACCTATCTATCAACAGATTTGAATGCGGGTTCTCTCGTTTAAACTTCGGTTTGCACATTTTCCACGTACGTGAAATTGGAGATAATAATCTTTAAAGAGACAAAGAGTTTTAAGGGTCATGCTCTCTGGAAAGCACCTAATTTAGGGTTTGGCACAAAATAATAATAAGCACTTATTTAGTGCTATGTGCTCGGCAACATACCAGGCAATTAATATGCATCTCCTTTAGTCTTGACAACAACCCTATGAAGTAGGTATTGTTATTTTTAAAGTGGAGAAACTGAAGTTCAGAGAAATTATGGAGCTTGCTCAAGGTCTCATAGCTAGTCAGTGGCTGAACCAGGTTTCAAGTCTAAACTGAATGTTATTGATTGCTGTACTACTTCTGAAATCTTTATTTCAAACATCCCACCTTTATCATTTCTATCACTTCCTAGCTTTCTATCTCACTTTCCCAGTATTTTAATGGCAATGATATCTTGACCTCATTGACAATTCCAATTTCTACCGATTATACCACTTTTCATAAGTCGCCATCACTCTTGTGTTTTCACTTCCCTTCTTAGCCAGCCTAGATTATGTGATTCAGCACAGTTTACTCTTCCTTTGAAAATACCCTTAACCCCATTACTTTTTTCTCCCTCTGCTTGGAAAAAGTTAAATCTAAGTTAATCCCAACTTTCTCTTTACTTCATTCTTGCAACTAAGCAGTGATTATTGCTGGAGATAAATGCACAATTGTGGAGACTGGACTCACCCTCAGGTGAGCCAGGTTTTAATTAAGACCACGGAGAAAAGGACCATGTATTAAAAAGGATGAAGACATAGGGGAGTTTGATTACTGTGGTATGGAGAAGCAGTGGGAAGTTTTGCCAAAGGTGAGGCAATATGTGATGATGATGTGAAAGTGGAAAGAAGACACTTGGAGCGGCACTTCCTTTAGTTTAGTGACCAACAATCACAAGAGTGAGAGGCCTGCTTGAAGAAACCTGCTATAAATATGCTAACATTGGCATAAGTTATAATGTTTTGGTCCTGGCCTGGCTAGGGGCTCTGGGAGGATTCCAAATGGCCTCAGTGGCTAGATAAGTCAGTCATACAGTACAGAGAAATGTTATGGATGGGGCAATAGGCGGAGAGGGGGAATCCTGTTTTAGGGAGAGGTAGGGTTTTTTCTTCTTGTGCTTGGTGCTGTGGTGAAGGCCTCAGTTACTGGGCAGGACCAGGGTCTTTAATGGAGGTAGGCTCGTGATGTGCTGGTAAAGGTTTAACAACTGACTCTCTGAACTATGGTAACAACAACAAACACATAGTCCCTTCATAGCTGATTCCAAGTTAACAACATGACATCATTGAATGTGAAGTTGGAAAGAGGTATGCACAATCAGTACTCTTGGCAGCTGGTGTGAGCTGGCTCCAGCATAACACAGGCTGGGCCAATCTCAGGCTCTCCACGTGAGCAGTGGAAAAGTCTAGATTATATACTGCCCATGAGCACTGTGATGGGGTAAGGGGCAGGCTCTGATTTACAGATGTAATATATCCTGTGAAGAATAAGACACAGGTAATTCATTCACAAAAATCACTGTGGTCTGGGAGACTGGGTCAAAATAGGATGAGATCTATTGAAAACTGTGTAGTCTTCATTAATCTGATGCATCGGCCCTGTGCCTTCCGTGGAAACCTCTGAGTATATGGCTGCCTTTTGTCCTACTATCACCATTCTGTTCCACATGATAACACGTTTAGATCTAGAAACTCATGGTGAGTCAATTTCTCTGTCAAAAAAGTTTGGAGGTAATTGCTTTCACAGTAATAGAATTGCAAGTATTTCCAAAATTCATCCATGTGAATAATTTGCTTTCATCGATAGGAGAGAAAACCCCTCAATTCTGAAGAAACCTCAACTATTAGGATATTCACACTTGTGAGAGGATGACTTCAGGAGAGAAGGGGATAAATGGTAAAACCAACAGGAAAGAGAAGACAGGAGGTTAATAAACTCAGCTTATTTTCCTTATCAAATTAAAGAGACGTTAAATACAAACCAGCACACTTTCTGGTTTCATGTTTGTAGTCTGTGTTTTATGTGAAGACTATTCTACATGTATGACATTAATGTAGTGCTTTTCTTATGATGGCACTCATTGGTACACAGAATTCCCAATATAAGTTAGAATTCCTACTTCTCCTGAAATATTTGAAGAGACCAAGACATTCACTGTCAGTACATGGGTTGGCCCACATGATCTGCCACCCTAAAACCCAGAAAAGCCTCATGCTTTTGCAATGCAATCATCAAGAAGCAGGAGGTTTTCCTTTCTCAAGTTGTCCATTGGCCTACTCCAGCAGTTCTGGGAAGATATTGTAGATCGCTACTCAAGAGAAGAGGAAGGAAAAGGAAAAGGCAGTAGGAGAGCCATTTCTACAAAGTATAGGCGTGTAAGTCCTGGCACCTTATTTTAAAAAATGAGTTTTATGATTCTTTCTCAAGGGGAGACAAGGAGCTGCTAGTGGACCTGTCACTGTGCAATATAAATCTGTGGAGGTGTTTGTGGCAGATGGCGCACCGTGATTCTCACAAGAACTTTAAATCTCCTGGCCTGGCTTCCTTCTCCTTGGGGGCTCGATGCCAGTTTGAGGTTTATCAAATCCCAATCATATCAGATTTATTGACCTGTCATTTTGCTGCTCTGCCTATCTTTATTATTTATATCTTAGCTGTATCCTTCCCCTCTCCCTCAAGAGGATTGACCTATCTTCCGGTGTAAAGGAGAGTTAAAATAAAAACAGAGCCATTAGAACATAACAGGGAATGAGAAGCTGGGAGATATATGAGAACCAAAATAACTCTCTGTATTGAAAAAATAGGCAGGGAGCAGAGGCTCACGCTTGTAATCCGAGCACTTTGGGAGGCTGAGGCGGGCAGATCACCTCAGCCTCCCAAAGTGTGGGGTCAGGGGTACGAGACCAGCCTGGCCAACATGGTGAAACCCTGTCTCTACTACAAGTACAAAAATTAGCCAGGCGTGGTGGCATGCACCTTTAATCCCAGCTACTCAGGAGGCTGAAGCAGAAGAATTGCTTGAACCTGGGAGGTGGAGGTTGTAGTGAGCTGAGATCGCACTCCAGTCTGGGCGTCAGAGCAAAACTCTGTGTTTTTTTTGTTTTTGTTTTTGTTTTTTTAAAAAAAACCCAGAAAGCAAAAAACAAAAAACAACAACAAAAAAGAAGGCCAGGCACGGTGGTTCATGCCTGTAATTCCAGCACTTTGGGAGACCGAGGCAGGTGGATTAGTTGAAGTTAGGAGTTTGAGACCAGTCTGGCCAAAATGGTGAAACCCCGTCTCTACTAAAAATACAAAAATTAGCCGGGCATGGTGGCCGGCGCCTATAATCCCAGCTACTCAGGAGGCTGAGGCAGGAGAATCGCTTGAACCCGGGAGGCGGAGGTTGCAGTGAGCTGAGATCACGCCACTGCACTCCAGCCTGGGCAACAGAGCAAGACTCCATCTCAAAAAAAAAAAAAAAAAAAAAGGAAGCTACTATAATTAAGTCAAAACCTGGCCCTAACCTCTCTGGAAGTCAAGGCAAAAAAGAGCATTATGATCCACTTTTCTACCACTTCATACATCTCACCACTAAATACTCCGGAGAAGGGGGATGAGCAGTGACCAGGCTGGTAAGCACATTTTCCACAGTGCTTCCTTGCATGGAGACACTTACCTGATAATATGGATGCGACGGCTGCAATGATGAAGGACACAATGACACCAGGTCCTGCCATTTCCTTGGCCACCAGGCCAGAGACCACATACATGCCAGTGCCCACACAGCTGCCAACGCCAAGAGAGATGAGGTCCACTGTGGTGAGCACCTGGGCTAGCTTAGTTCCATGTGCCGTGGTGGCCCCAGTTCCCTCTAGCATGGACTCCACGGGTTTGGTGCGTAGGATCCTGGAGTGCATTGCATACCAGGCAGCCCCCCACTGCACCCGCCGGGGGTCCAGCGAGGCGAGGAAGCCACTCATCTTGAGCGATAGGGGATGCAGTGAAGGTCAGCTGATGGAAGGGGGCTACAAAGCCTTAGTGGATGGTTCTGGAACTCATCTAGTGAACAGGGATCTCCCTTTCAGGAAAGGTCCAGAGGGACCCAGTGCAGCCTTCTCCTGGGCATGAATGTCTGCAGGAAAAACACAAGAAAGCAGAAGATGAGACCGAGTGAGAAACAAACCTTGACTTGGAGGGATGGTTGGAGGTTAATGTCCTGAACTGGTAGAACTGGTCTACCTGTGTGCTCATAACATGAAAGGGTTCCATGGTTCCACTCTCCTTGCTCTTCTCTCCAGTCCTAAAGGACTGTCGGCACGTGCACTGTGCTGCACAGTCATCCTGATGAGGATGGTCTGAGTTAGGGCTCTGCTACTTCCTGCTCTGTGGTCTTGGGTAAGCCACATCTGTGTTTAGGTCTCAACTGTCCAATGGGACAATACAGTCTCTCTCTTAGTGTTGATGTGAAGATTAGATGAGCGACATCCATAAGGAGCTTAAGAAAATGCCTGGCGTATGGAAAGTGCTCATCCATCTCACCTCTACCTCTTACTTGACTCTGCCAACACTTGGTCTGTGATTCTTGGGCATATTTTGAGGGGACATGATATCTACATTTTTTAACATAAGGATGTAAAATTGATCCATGAGGCTCAAGAGGGGCCATGCCACCCCATGGGTTATTTTCGCACTTGGATCCCAAATGAAATAAAAAATGTTTTGGGGATTTTGTTTTAAACTCTCAAACATTGGAATGGTGGGGAGTACTCCTGGCATCTGGGGGGACCCTGAGATGTGAAATGTGTAGGGCATTATCACACAACTTTCAGATATTTTGCTTGACATTCCTGTAGATTAAAATCCTGGTTATGATCATCTGAGCCTGGAACCTCACTCTCTTTTACATATAAACTCATAGGATATTTTGGATAGCCTTAATACACAAGTAAATTGAATTTTCCGGTAATATAACTATAGAATAAATCAAAGGAAGATTATAATGCATTTAGTTTGGAACTTAAGAGGAGTTGTTTGCCCTTTCAGAAAACCAAGGCCCCTGTGGGAATGCCACCCATGGTATTGCATTTCTCACGCCGCACTCTGGAATAGCCTGCCATCTGGAACTGGCATGTTTGCGGTGATTTTTCACATATTGCAAGCATCTGACACAGTCATTTGGGTATGCCTGGGTATTTACACACTGAAATATGTTGTATATAGGTAGATTATCTATAATTTCACTTCAGGATACTAAAAGGAGGTATGACCAAGTGTTTATTATAAAAAGGGGTGTTGGATCTGATAGAGTTGAGAACTACAGTGTTAGGTAATTTCTAAAGTTTAGTAAATTATAAACTGCAAATATATGAAGCTACTTTCTTTGGAAGCCAGAAGCTGGAGGAAATTTATAAAAACTGTATAAAATTTATAAAACTCATAAATGTATAGAAATTTTGAAATATAGCCAGACATTGATTCCAAATACTGTACTGACAAGCTCAGGACATTTACATAATCAGTAAGTACCTGCCTACCTCATCTACTCAAAGTATTAATGAATACTAAGCACTTAATGTAGCACTTGTCTGCTTCTAAAGGCTTTTCAAACACTAATTAGAAGAATCCAGTGAAATGTGGCTGTTTGGTTCACAGGTTTGGGTGACAGCCCTTCTGGTTTAATTTTTTCCTAGCTTTGACAGTGTTGCTTCGTGCTGTGTTTTTATTCTTGACAACACCTTAGATATCACTATAGTTGGATAACACACCAGAGATATTTAACAGGCTAGAGTGTCTGCATTCCTCCCTTCTACCTCCCCTTCCTCCTCTCCTCTTTCTTCTTCTAAAGATTTTTGCATTGGTAAGAAAATATACCATATGTTTACCAGGAAGGCTGCTAGAACAACTGCTTTGGTTAAGGTCTTGTGGGGACATGAATCCATGTATCTATTTATTTCCACTCAGCCAGCATATAAGGAACACCTGTTATGTGCCAAGCATGGCGTGAGGCTTGTAGGTGCAAAGACATGGTCCCTGCTCTCATGGAGCTTGCAGCCTGGGACAAGGGATAGTGGATGCCCACATCACACTGGAAGTGAGAGGGTTTGGTTTTGCTTTTCCCTGAAAAGCTCGGTTTTAATTATTTCTCTTTTTACACAAACATCGCATATCTATTGCAGAAAAGTCAGACAATATAAACAACAAAAAACCACATGAGTAAATAAAATACCACCCAGCTAGCTACAACCTGATTTATATTCTTTCAGACCCTTTTCTACGTAACTACACAACTGTTTGAATGGACCTATATGTGTGTGTGTGTGTGTGTGTGTGTGTGTGTTTTATAAATGTTATTATATCGTTTATTCTGATTTGAAACTTTCTTGTTTTGCTCAACAATATGTTAGGATGTTTTCCCACATCAATAGTTACAGAAACATCATTTTAAATAACTGAATAGTAGCTTCACTATTGTGGCTTCAGTGTTTTTATTCAGAAAATTGGCCTGCTGCTTTAGTTTTAATTCATCTATTCAGGAAACTATACAAAGCATCTTCTCTGTGTCAGCCCAGCCTTATGTAGCAGTTGCTGTGGTAAATGAGCTGCTGTCATGGTGCTGACGTTTGGTGAGGAGGGAGGAGGCAATACACAGGTTGACAAATAAGATCAGTCAATTTCAGAGAGGGATAAAGACTGTGTTATGGGTTGAATCATGGCCCTCTAAATTAGAATGTTGGAGTCCTAGCCACCACACCTCAGAATGTGACCTTATATGGAAATAATATCATTATAGATGTAATTAGTTGGGGGAGGTCATACCAAAGTAGAATGGGCCCTTAGTCCATATGACTGACGTCTTTATAAAAAGGGGAAATTTGTATACAAAGTCACACACACAGGGAGAACAGACATGGGGGTGATGCCTCTACAAGCAAAGGGAAGCTTCTGATTGCCGTGAAACCACCAGAAGTGAGAAAAGAGGCAGGGAAGCGATTCTTCCTCATAGCCCTAAGAAGCCAACACTGCTGACACCTTGATCTTGGATTTGTAGACTCCAGAATGGTGAGACAATACATTCCTATTGCTTAAGCCACCCGGCCCATGGTATTAGGTTGGTACAAAAGTAATTGCAGTAAAGCACAAATTGCAAAAACCACAGTTACTTTTGCACCAACACAATACTTTGTTATGGTTGCCCTAGCAAATGTATTCCTCATAGAGCAAGGTAAGGAACAATTGCTTATATAAATATAAATATTCAATAATAAGTAAAATATATCTAAACTAGTATAGGCTTAGAGGAAATAAAATGGGGTGATTAAGGGGTGGGAAGGTCTCTGTGGACATGGCATTGGCTCCTGAGTGGTGCAAAGGGGCCAGTTGTACCAGGTGTCAGGGAAGTGCTCCTCACATTGTGGTTCAAGAGGGTAGAGCAGGTGTTGCATCTGCTGGGATCTAAGTGGGACTGGTATGGGGTAAGGAGGAGGATTTGAGTGTCGTGTGGACTAATTTAATCCTCATAACATAATTGCCTTTACAGATGAGACAAAGTAGGCCAGGAGAGGGGCAGTCACTTACCCAAAGTCACCAGAGCCAGAGCTTGGCCCTGGGCTCGGCAGGGCTCTCTTGTTTGAGATGCACAGAGGTCAGACTGCCAAGGGGCTGGTCAGCCAAGATAAAAGGGCTGTGATTTTGCTATTCAGTGCGGTGAGAAGCCCTCGGAGGCTTTTATTCAGGTGAGCAATATGAGAGGACTTACATTTCTAAAAGCTCATTGTAGCTGTCGCAGAATCTTAGGCCCCGGGACTCTTTAAGGCAGCCCGGGATAGATGTAAAAAGGCGAGGGGTGTGGACCTGCCGCAGCCGGGAGGCCGACAAGTAGGCAGAGATGTACAAGCCAGTGGGACTCTGCAGCCAGGGCAGTGCCTGCACACAGGACACTGTATGCAGGAAGGAGAAAAATTGTCAGCCGGCCCCAGGAGAGCCTTGCAAGCCATGTGCTGCTGGAATCGAGGAGACAGTCCCCGTGGCAGGTTGTGGCTGTGGTAAATGCAGGTGGGCTTCATGCCCGCTTTTCAAGGGGTGGTGAATGGGTTTCCCGTCTTGAGACCCCTTGGCAGTGGCTCTCCATCTTGGGTGCACATTGGAAATGCCCAAGGATCTTTCAGCAACGCTGGTGCCTGTGCCCCACCCCAGAAATTCAAATGTAATTTGTCTGAAGTATGGCCTATATACAGGGGTTCTTTAAATGCCCCAGCTTATTCTAGTACAGCAGTCCTGAGGTTCCCTGCCTCATGCCAGGCATAATGACAAGTGCTCCATGTGGAAAACCAGATATTGCTGTTTTCCACAGGAGGTCACTAGTCTGACAGGTACTTCCTGTTTCCGTCCCTGGGCAGGTTGTGGGCCTCTTAACAGCTCTCCTCGGCAGGCAATGACTATGGATGCGGCACTGTCTGGAGATATCCCCTGGGCTGCTTGTCCTGTTCAGCTTCATCAGAAACTGTCACAAGGACACCGAGAAACAAACCAGCCTTGTTATGAAGGTGATGGCTTCTATTTGCACTTCGTATTCCTGGTAATTAGAAACCGTATTGAAAATGTGGAGAATCAACCAAAAGCAAAGGTTGAGGGTGGCAAGAATGCCCCCCTGCTCCTTTTCTCTTCACGTAATTCCCCTGAGTGCTTGCTTTACTGATGCAAACAGGGAGTTGGGACCATTTCCTTTCTTGGTAGGAAATTTACTGGAGAGAACAAAATATACAGAAGAAAACATACTTCTAGGTGACTATTGGCAACATCCATATTCATTACCCCCAGATTATGTTAATCAAAGATAGTTTTGGAAGCTCATTGCTGTTGTCTTTCCAAGATGAGCAATAAATGTGTGTTGTGCTTTCTCTAGCACTTTAATTCAGGTTTCTCAAAATACTTCACAGCTATAACTAAGGAAGGCTTACAGGGCCTCAGGGACAAGAGAGTCATCATTGTGCTGCTTGCTGGCGTGCCTGAGGGTACAGTGGGCTCCAAGGATAATGATGGTAAAAGCAGGTTTGTTTCAGGATGCAAATAATTACAGTTTAGTAGTTCACTGAATGAGTAGGATTATCAAATTAGGTTAGAGACTGCCTTTGG